CAAAATTTGTAATGGTCACAGTTTGAACTAGATATTCGAATTCTTAGGATTTATCCTGAAGGAATACTTGGGTAAGTGCACAAAGAAGTGGATGCTGTTGTTCTTACAACATTATTTGGAATAATGAAAAATTAGAATCAACTCACACGTGCAGCAGTAAGAAATTTTGATACGTCTGTATGTTTGTATTCTGTTGCTGCCATGTAAGTTACTACAAGTTTAGCAGCTTAAAAAAAATACAAATTTATTCTGTTACAGTTTTGAAGGTTAGAAGTCCAACATCTGTGCCATCAAGCTAAATTTAGGGTGTCATCAGGTCTGTAGTTCTTTCTGTAGGCTCTAGGGGAAGATGCATTTTCTTTTTCTTTTTTTTTTTAAATTTTTATTTATTTATGATAGTCACACAGAGAGAGAGAGAGAGAGGCAGAGACACAGGCAGAGGGAGAAGCAGGCTCCATGCACCGGGAGCCCGACGTGGGATTTGATCCCGGGTCTCCAGGATCGCGCCCTGGGCCAAAGGCAGGCGCTAAACCGCTGCGCCACCCAGGGATCCCTGCATTTTCTTTTTCATTTGGATTTGGCAGAGTTTAGATCTTTGCAGTTGTAGGATTAAGGTCCCCGGGTCCTTGTTGGCTGTCAGCTCATAGTATTCCCAGCTTCTAGTTAGTGGTCAGCCCTACTCTTACGCTCCTGGACTCCTTTCTTCCTCCTTCAGCCTTATCTCTCATGAGGTTCTCTCCTTTTAAGGATTAGATTGGATATGTCCAGGTAGCCCATGGTAAATCCACCATCTCAAAATCTGTACCCCTAGTCACATCAACGAAATTCCTTTTACCAAGTAAAATGACATAGTCACAGTTTCTGAGTTTTGGGGTGTGAATGAAATCTTTGGACTGGGGGATAGGGAATCATTCTGCCTACTGTGGTCCACATGATGGTATGCTCTGCAGAATGAGTTCCATTTGTATTCTTAAGCAGAAAGCTGTCTAATGAGTACTAAGTTTAAAAAAATAATGGCATACTTCACCTTATTTCAATAAAAGATTGGTTATAAAATTTTTTTAACATGCATGGGGGAAAAATTGACTACCCACTAAACTGGTGTAATTTCATTTCTGAGGGTGCGAGTTTAGAGGACTTGAATTTTATGGGATATTTGAATGTTTTACAATAAAACTATTTTTGCAAGGTGTTCATTATGCTGGGTAAGTGGCTCTTTATTGAGTGCTGTAACTATTGAGTGGAATAAGAAACCTGAGACAAGGCCTGCAAGGAGCTAGTAGTTGTATTTGAGAAGAGAACATGCATACAGGTGAAACTATTTAACGCCGGCAGGCAGCATACATTATTTTAAGTTGTTGGGTATACACTCTAAATGCTGTAGGACTTTAAAGAAAAGAAGAAAATGAACCCTTTTTACGTAGCTAATCTGTATGAATGATCTTAAATTTACTCCTTTAAATAAAAGTAATAAACGTACACTGTAAAAATTTAAATAGAGAAAAAACAGCTTTGTGTATTTTGTGCTGTCATTTGTCTAGTCTGTATTTTATTTAGTCTCTTAATGGACTTTCATATTGTTTCTAGACTTATACAGACAGGAAATGCTTTTCAAGTCTGTAGGGTAAATTCCTAGCAGTGGAATTGCTGGATGAAAGTGAATGTACATTTGAACTCTTTGATGGAGGAAAGGGTATAATTAGGGGAGGGACACATGGGAATTTCACAGACAGTGCTACTGCATTTCTTAGCTGCATGGGAGGTACTGTGTGGGTGTTTATTATTCTTTGTGTGAATAAAATGTTTTTTTAAACTAACTTATGAGTAGATAACTAAAATTTATCCCAAATTTTTTGTTGTAAAATCACTCCTAAGGACATATGAGACTAGGGGAGTGCCTGTTTTGTCACATTCTAGGTAGCTGTTGTTTGGGGCTTTTTGTTGCTGTTTTATTTCGATTTGTTTTTAACACAGTGAATCTATTTATTACAAAATCCAAATGACAAACGCATATGGATTTTTTGGTAAGTGTAAAAGACTTGCTAGAAGGCTGGCAGAAACCTTGGCTCCCTGCCTCTGCCGCCTTCAGCTCCTCTGTGTGCCCCACTCAGATTTGTGGGTTCTTAAAACCCACCTTTCACACCATACACTTACACCACTTTTCTCTTGTCTCATCAGCATTAGTCATCTGTTTACTTCAGGTGTTGTAGAAAAGGATTATCTCCTTCCTACACCATATCTCCCCACTATGGTTATTTATTCGTAATATGTATTTGCCTATATATTCCATCTGTATTGCTCTCTAGTAGAGAATGCAAATGCCAAGCAGCATTTTGTATGAATTATGCATGTCTCTTGATAGCTTGCTTGGACAAGGTTATCAACCATTCATCACCCTGCTACAGGCATGGAAAGGGGAGAAGTTTATATATGTATTGCATGTATAATACAGGTAATACATGTATTCATCTAATTTGGCACCTCATTTTTTAAGAACACAAATTGATAGGAAATATTAATCCCTTTAAATTACTGAATTGAAATAACATTTCTTCAGAAGGACTCGAGATACTTTTTAGTGATAGTGTTGATTCTTTACCTCTTAAATGTCTGTTTTTTCTTCTATCATAATAACTCACGGAGAATTTTTCATCTTTGATCTCTTTCATTGTTCCATGCCTTAAACATTATTTTCCCACATGATTTGTTGAGAGGTTAATGTCTGCTGCTTTTTTGTTAGACGAGTTTCTATTTTTAATCTTGAAAAGATTTTTTTCTTTCTCTGAAGATGAGGAGGTAGAAAACTGTAATATTTGTTTTCAGTTGTAAGCTAGGAAGCTTTTTATAGCACAGCCATTTCTAGATACTTGCCTGTAGCTTGCATCTGCGTGGTATTTCTGTGATTGAGAGTGCCCTCTTATGGTGACACAAAGAATTCAGGAGGTCTGATCCTTTGGCATTTTACAGTCAGGGTTCATATAGCACTTGCTGTCTGCAGCTTTAGGAAGAGTTGAAAGACGCTCCTCTCTCTAACAAGAATCACTTACTATAAAACTGTATCTTATATCAGGTGGAACGGCCTCCTTCTCCGTTCTCGATGGCCCCACAGGCTCCCCTGCCCCCGGTACCACCACGTCTTGACCTCCTACAACAGCGAGTGTCTGTTCCTTCTAGTGCTTCTGGTCTTGGAACTGCTTCTAAGGTAAGACATCCATTTCTACAGTTTTCTGATTCTTGGTTGTGCCTTAGTGGGGTCTTTTGTTTTTCGTTTTTGGTTATGGGTTTTTTTTAATTAGTGGGTTTTGTTTGATTTGCTTTCCTCATGCTTCCACAGGTAGCTTCTGGCTCTCTTCATAAGGACAAACCATTACCAATACCCCCCACACTTCGAGATCTTCCACCACCACCCCCTCCAGACCGACCATATTCTGTTGGAACAGACACCCGGCCTCAGAGACGTCCCTTGCCTTGTACACCGGGTGACTGTCCATCCAGGGACAAACTGCCGCCTGTTCCCTCTAGCCGTCTCGGGGAATCATGGCTGCCTCGGCCAGTCCCCAAAGTACCAGTGGTTGCTCCAAACTCTAGTGACCCCTGGACCTCTGGTAGAGAATTAACCAACAGGCACTCACTTCCATTTTCATTGCCCTCACAAATGGAACCCAGAACAGATGTGCCTAGGCTTGGAGGCACATTCAGTGTGGATACTTCCATGGTGAGTCCTGATTTTGACATTTTTAGCCTATTAACAAATATTTGTGAATGGCATTTAATGGGTCAGAATTTTGTGATAGGTTTTATGCAGGATTCAGAGACAATAAAACATAATCCCTCAAGAAGTATATTAATAGGGCAAATAAGGCATATTTGTAAATATCACTATAAGTGTGCATGCATATATTTGTATTTATGGCTGGATTCATGTAGTATAGATGAGTACTATAAATAGGAAACATTTAAGTTTTAGAGAAAGGAGAGATTATTTCCAAATAGAGCAATCATGAGAGCTTTATAGAATGAATGGCATCTGAATTTGACGTGTTCTTTCGAAGAGAATAATGTTAAGGTCAGAAGCACACTGACACAGATGCTTGAGGTATATCGTGGAACTAGAAGTAGTTTAATTTGTTTTTTTTTAATTTTTATTTATTTATGATAGTCACACAGAGAGAGAGAGAGAGGCAAGAGACCCAGGCAGAGGGAGAAGCAGGCTCCATGTACCGGGAGCCCGACGTGGGACTCGATCCCGGGTCCCCAGGATTGCGCCCTGGGCCAAAGGCAGGCGCCAAACTGCTGCGCCACCCAGGGATCCCTAGAAGTAGTTTAATTTGAATGAAGCAGAAGTTTTATGTATGAGAGGAGGGGAAAAAGTAGAAAGGGGTATTAGTACTAGATCAGAGGACCCTGAAAATCCCATCAGGGTCAATAAAATTTGAATTTTGTAGGAAACAAGAAGCATTTCAAGGTTTTAAATTAATGGAGTGACATGAGCAAAATGATGGTTTACAGAGATAAATCTCGTAGTAGTATGCAAAATGGATTGCTAAGACAGTAGGTTGAAAAAAGTGTGGCAGTTCATTGTATAAGCATGAGATAAGGGTTCAGACCTGGGAGTGGGGAGGTATATCTGTTCTTTTGTTGGTTCGTTTATGTGCTCCAAAGAAAATCCTACCCTCACAAAGTTTACCTTCTAGTGGAGTAAAAAAATCAGCATGGTAAGTTAATAAAACAAAGGGAATTGGATGCTGATGAGTGCTGTGGAGAAAATTAGGGATAAAGGGGTGTGGGAACAGTTGGAGTTGGAAATGGGGGGACATATGGAGGAATGGAGTACCATTCTGAGCAAAGATATGGAGCAGTGGTGAACTCAAGCCATGCTGATTCTCAGGGAGACCATTCCAGAGTGAAGGGGAAACAGGTGAGTTTGGGAGAGTATGAGGAAGGATGGAAAAAGGGGCTTATATAGCTGGCACTAAGTTAGTGTGAGGGAGAATGCTCCAGTGCACATTTTGTTGACCTGCTTTCTCTTGCGTATGTGAGTAGTGTTATTTCTTATGTGCAGGAGAAATAGTTAAAGGTTAATTAGCAGTATAACGAAATAGTGATACTGCCAGCCCCCTTCAAACAGAAAAAGGGGGAGAATAGGGACACCTGGGTGGCTCAGCAGTTAAGCGTCTGCCTTCGGCTCTGTGTGATCCTGAAGTTCCAGGATCGAGTCCCACATCGGGCTCCCTGCAAGGAGCCTGCCTCTCCCTCTGCCTATGTCTCTGCCTCTCTCTGTCTCTGTGTTTCTCATGAATAAATAAATAAAATCTTTAAAAAAAAAAAAAAAACAGCTTGTGAGCAGTTAAGTTGAATTTGGTGTGACTCTTAGATGAAGTGCATATGTCTTGGTTACAAAAAAAGGGGGATGGTAACTTACATATAAGTGGCATTAAGTGATAGGCCTTCTAATTCGTGAGAATAAATTAGGTCAAGCTTCCTGATGACCTCACTATAGAGAGAGGTAAGTCTTATAGAATTAAAACAAAACAAAACAAAAAAACCACATTTCTTTGGCTCTTTTTAGATCTCTGTCTTCGTAACCCTTACATTTAAACCTTTTCAGGAAAAAAAAAAATCTTTTCAGAGTCTGAAAGCAGCTCCACTTTTGGTCATATGTCATAACCCCTAAGTGTGGCATTGGGAGTAAGGCCTGTGTCTGTATTACTGTTCTTGTTAATTTTGAATCAGAGAAGTAAGAAGAGATACTGAGCTTTGTTAAGAAGGTTCTTCTTTCCCACTTTTCTTTCCAGAATGTGAATAACAGCCCACTAGCAAGTTCTGAGTGTGAGCACCCCAAAATCAAACCTTCCGCATCTGCCAATGCCATTTATTCTCTGGCTGCCAGGTAAGTACTACAGCTTTGTTTCATATGGTAGATAGAGTTGGTACTGTTAAACAGGTTGCTCACAGAAATGAGAAAACCCAGAGTATAGAGAAGAAAATAAAAACTGATCCATGTTTGTATTGGTTTAAAATGAGATTCTCTGTTTTGATCTAATTCTTTATTTTCTCTGTGCATGTACATAGATCAGCCTTGCTGGGCTTAACAATTTTATTAATCTTCTCAAAGAAGCAGCTTTTGTTTCGTTGACTTTTGTAAAAAAAAATCTTTTCTTTACAATTTTTAATTCTTAGGTATCTGCTTTATGTGCGTGTGGTAAGATACACATAAAATACTCCATCTTGGGTGCCTGGGTAGCTCAGTTACTTAAGCAAGCGTCCAACTCTTGATTTCAGCTCAGGTCATGATCTCAGGGTCATGAGATCCAGCCCCTTGTGGGGCTCCACGCTGGGCTTGGTGCCTGCTTGGGATTCTACCCCTACCCATACCCCTCTCTCTGTCCCTCTCTAAAAATATACATATATGCCATACGGTTTAGTAGTACTAAATATTTTGACATTATGCAACCATCACCACCATCCATGCTCATAGCTCTTCATCTTGTAAAACTGAAACTCTGGACCTATTAAACAGTAGCTCCTCATCCTGCCTCAGCCCCTGGCAGCTATCATTACTTGTCTTCAGGATTTTAACTGCTCTAAATACTGCCTATAAGCGAAATCATAGAGTGTCTTTTTGTGACTGTTTTAATTCACTTAATGTTCTCATCCATATTGTAGAATATTGCAGAATTTCCTTCCTCTTGAAAGCTGAATAATATTCCAGCATATGTATATAGAGTTGCACCCCCCCCCCCTTACTTGCACAGGATACCTTTCAAGATCTGAATGCCTGAAACCAAGGATAGTACTGAACCCTTATGTGTATCCTAAGTTATTTTCTGTATATACATACATACATGGTAAAGTTTTAATTTATAAGTTAGTCATAGGAAGAGATTAACAACAATAACTAAAAATAAGACAGTTATAACAATTTATTATAATAAAAGTAGTGTGAATGTGGTCTTTCTCAGAATACGGTACTGTACTTATTCTTCTTGTGGTGATGTGAGATGATAAAATGCCTGTGTGATGTGATGAAGTGAGGGGAATGACGTAGGAGTTGTGACATAGCGTGTTAGGCTACTATTGACCTTCTGATAATACATCAGAATGAGGGTCATCTGCTTCTAGACCACGATTGACTGTGGGTAAGTAAAACCACAGAGAATAAAATTGCAGATAAAGGGTGACTACCGTACCACATTTTGCTTATCCGTTCATCCGTGGGTGGACACTTGGATTGCTTTCACATTTTAGCTCTTGCGTGATGCTGCTGTTGAATGTGGGTGAACAAATTCTCTTCAGGGCCCTACTTTCAATTCTTTTGAATATATACTCAGAAGTAGTATTCCTGGGGCGTCTGTGGCTTGGTCGGTTAAATGCCTGCCTTCGGCTCAGTTCCTGATCCCAGGGTTCTGGGATCGAGTTCTGCATTGGGCTCCCTGCTCTGTGGGAAGCCTGCTTCTCCCTGCCTTTACTTGCCACTCTCTCTGCTTGTGTTCGCTCTCTCTGTCAAATGAATAAATAAAATCTTAAAAAAAAAAAAAGTAGTATTCCTGGATCTTATGGTAATTCTATTTTTAATTTTTTGAGACATCATCATACTGTTTCCCATAGTAGCTGTACCATTTTAAATCCCCACCAACAGTCCAGTGTTTAACATGAGCCACCTATGCCCCTCCCCCAAACATTTGTTATTTTAGGGGTTTGGTAGTAGTCATCCTAATGGGTTTGAGATAGTGTCTCATTGTAATTTTGATTTGCATTTCCCTGATGATTAGTGATGTTGAGTATCTTTTTTTTTTTTTTTTAAAGATTTATTTAGGGATCCCTGGGTGGCGCAGCGGTTTGGCGCCTGCCTTTGGCCCAGGGCGCGATCCTGGAGACCCGGGATCGAATCCCACGTCGGGCTCCCGGTGCATGGAGCCTGCTTCTCCCTCTGCCTGTGTCTCTGCCTCTCTCTCTTTCTCTCTCTGTGACTATCATAAATAAATAAAAATTTAAAAAAAAAATAAAGATTTATTTATTTATTTATTTATTTATTTATTTATTTATTTATTTATTTATTAGAGAGAGAGAGAGAGAGAGAGAGAGGCAGAGACACGGGAGGAGGGAGAAGCAGGCCCCATGCTGGGAGCCCGATGTGGGACTCCATCCCAGGACTCCAGGATCGCGCCCTGGGCCAAAGGCAGGCACCAAACCGCTGAGCCACCCAGGGATCCCCTGTTGAGTATCTTTTGATGTATTTATCGGTCATTCACATATCTACTCTGGAAAATTGTCTATTTAAGGCATTTGCCCATTTTTTTTTTTCATTTGCCCATTTTTAAATCAGATTGTTCTTCTGTTTTAGGGTTTTAGAATTTCTTTGTATATTTTGGATGTTAATCCTTTATCTGTCAGATATGTGCTTTGTGGGCTGCCATTTTACTCTGGGTAGTGTTTTTTGATGCATAAAATTTAAAAAGTTATAGAAGCTGGGGCGTCTGGTTGGGTCAGTTGGTAGAGCCTATGACTCTTGGTCTCCTGGTTATGAGTTCATGCCCCATGTTGGGTGTAGAGGTTACTTAAAAATAAAATGTAAAAAGTAAATAAAAATTTTTTATGAAGTCTATTTTTAATTTAATTTTATTTACTTATTCATGAGAGATACAGAGGGAGAGAGAGAGAGGCAGAGACACAGGCAGAGGAGACAAGCAGGCTCCATGCAGGGAGCCCAATGTGGGACTCGATCCCAGGTCTCCAGGATCACACCCTGGGCTGAAGGCGGCGCTAAACTGCTGAGCCACCCAGGCTGCCCTGAAGTTGTCTATTTTTTTTTTCTTTGTTACGTGTGCCTTTGGTACCATATCCAAGAAATTGTTGCCAAATCCAGTGTCATGAAACTTTTGTCTTACAGCTTGTCTTAAAATTTTTAGTCCTACATGTAGCTCCTTGATTAGTTTTGGGTTTTGGCTTTTTTGTTTTGTTTCGTTTTGTTTTTGGAGAGAGGAAGAGGTGGGGAGGGCCAGAGGGGGAAAGAGAGAGAAAGAGAATCTTAATTAAGCAGGCTCCATGCCCAGTGCAGAGCCTGATGCAGGACTGTCTCACAGCCCTGAGATTATGACCTAAGCTGAAATCAAGAGTCAGATGCTTAACTGACTGAACCACCCAGGCATGTAGCGTTAGGTAAGGGTCTAGTTTCATTCTTTTACATGTAGATACCCAATTTTCCCCTCACCATTGTTGAAAAGACTGTTCTTTCCCATTGAATAGTTTTGACATCCCCCTGCCCATTTTTTTAAAAGATTTTATTTATTTGAGAGGGAGCACAAGCTGGGGGAGAGGCAGAGGGAGAGGAAGAAGCAGACTCCCTGCTGAGCAGGGAGCCCCATGTGGGGCTCAGTCCCAGGACTATGGGATCAAGACTTGAGCGAAAGGCAGATGCTTAACCAGCCCTGCCACCCAGGTGCCCCTATCAGTAGTGTTTTATAGTTTTTATTGCATAAGTCTTTCACCACTTTAGTTAATGCCTAAGTATTCTTTATGATTCTGTTGCAGTTGGAATTGTTTAAATTTCCTTTCCCTATTGTTCATTCTGTATAGAAAGGTGACTTGTGTGTGTGTTGAACTTAGTATCCTTTTACTTGCAGAATTCATCTTTTAGTTCTGACACCCTTTTTTGTGGCATCTTTAGGCTTTTCTACATATGAGATATATCATCTGCAAACAGATAATTTTTCTTCTTTTCTGATATGGATGACGTTTATTTCTTTTTCTTGCCTAATCTGGCTAGAAATTCCAGTACTGTCTTGAGTAGGAATGATGGAAGTAGACATCCTTGCCTTGTTACTGATCCTTCAGGAAAAGCTTTCAGTCTTTGACCATTGAGTATGATGCTTGCTTGCTATAGGTGTTTCATAGATGGCTTTTGTTATGTTTAGGTACTTTCATTCCTATTTTAGTTGAGTGTTTTTGTCATAAAAGGGTGTTAAATTTTGTCAAATGCTTTTCTGCACCAAGCGAGATGATTGTGTGTTAATGTGCTATATTAATCTATATATTAGTTTTTTATATTGAGCCATCCTTGCTTTCCAGGTATAAATCCCACTAATATATAATCCTATATACTACTGAATTTTTTTTTCTGGTATTTTGCT